ATATATATATGGCTCTAATTTCTGTGTTGCTGTTTATCTTGTTATTTTTTGGCGTTAACCTAATGTGTTTATTGAAAGGATTTTATCTTCCAGATTCCTCATGGTTAACTTTTGGTCTGTATTTTGCACAATTAGATGTGAATATTTCTTCTTAGTCTGCTTTTTGCTATGCAATGACTGCATTTCTATCATCTCTTAGTTTGTTAGTAAATGTGGATAGTATTGTATTGTATAAATTGATTGCACAATTTATCAAAGACCAATTATTCTATGTAGCTTTTCTAATGTGCTTTGCTAAACCATGTGATACCAGTTAAGTCTTCCTTGAAAATAAAGATACTCTTATAGAGGACAGTTCCTGTTTACTCCCAGGAAATTTTTTTAAAAGATGACACTGAATGTTTATTGCACTTTAGTGCAGTGAAGTGGCAATAAAACCTAACATGAGTTGAGGTTGTTTATGGCAGATGCATGTATTGCTTTACAGAGTTTAGCAAAAGCTCTTAATTTTATGTCATACTGTATTCTATTATAATAATAAAGCTAACATTATTCAATAACAATGTGAAAGGCTTCAGTTCCTTTTGTATATCAACAGAAGCTTCTATGCCCTGTTTTTAAACATTTTCAGGTTAGTAGCATCTAAAAATGCCAAGTCCTTGAAATAACCTAGAATACTCAGAATATTTTTGAAGTTATGTCAATAACATGAACCCAAATCACGATTTTAAGTAATTGCTTAAGATAGAGAAATTCGTTAAACACCTGGTGCCCAAATACTACTAAAACTTCAACTCAAAATTTATGAAATTTTAGAAAGAAAAATCAAAATCAAAATGCTAAAATAACAGTGGAGCTTTGTCACATCTATTGTTAATACAGCAAATTTATTATATGATATACACTAAGAGACACTGATTTATTTGTTCTCAAGGCAGAATCTGAATTTTAGAGTTTTTGAAGGTCCCCATGAGGCTCTAACATGTAGCCAAGGTTGAGTCACTGTACTACATGGTTAATATCTGGGTATTTTCTATTCTATTCCTTTATATTTCTTTATTCACAAAGCCAGATCAAAGTCCACAACATGTATAATCACTTGGAAGATGATAGATAAAATCATTTCAGTGATAACTACAAGACTGTATATATGGTTTCTATGGGCAAAATCCCTGAGGCAAAATTTTTGTTTCAGGTGGTAGTGGCAAGGCAGAAGAAACAAAGTAAATTTTATTTTAGCAAATAAAAAATGCATTTAAAAAAAAAATCAGGACTTAGATAAAATAATAATTTTAAGATCCTCCAAGTAAATCATTTACGTAATCTAAATAAAAGTGCAAATTTAAAATTAATGAACCTTTTCATTCATTGGTTTCTTGATTCTCAGAAAAATAAATATAGAGAATGATGATATTTTTGATTACCATATTACATTTAAGTAAAGAGCTCCATAATAACTCTCTATGAATTGTAATAGGGCAAAAGAGACCTTAGATTCAAATAGGTTCAATAGAGACTTTTTATTAGGACTTGGACAGACAAAGACAAAACAAAGACAATCATCCAGGATGAGGGAAAACATCAGCATGTACACAGTACAGAAAGCTGAATGGAGTCTGTGGAGTTATGGCTGTGGGGCTAATTATTTATGATTGAAAACAAAGGGAATCATCACAAAATCATTATTGGTGGCAGATCAGTTCATCACTACTGCAGACTGGACTGGGAGTTCTAGTAGCATAGCGGCTAAGGCACTTGACTGTTAGCCAGAAGGCTGGTGGTTCAAACCCACCAGCCACTCCTCAGAAGGAAGATGGGGCAATCTACTTCCATAATGATACTGCCTCAGAAACCCAAGGAGGGTTCTCTATGAGTTGGGTCCGACTCGACGGCACATAACAACAACAACAACAGCAGGCTGGACTACAGAGGTGGGGAAAAGACAATGATTGGGATATGTACATAATTAAAG